CTGGAACCCCAAGGATCCTGCGGTGATGTGGCACTCATGGGAAGCTCTCTTTGGATTCTGGATGGGGATGTTCATCTTGGCCCCAGTTTGTAACCCTGCTCTGAGGCCACTCTTTGCATGGTCTTGGTTAGCTTGGGCTGCCACACTGAATGCCATAGACTGGGCAGATGAAACCCCACACGTTCGTTTCTCACAGTTATGGAGTCTGGAGTCCCACAGAAGGATGCCTGACCAGAGTCCCATGCGGCCTCTCTCTTCTCCTTGCTGGAGAAGACGTCTGGCTCACCTGCGTCCTCACATGACTGACATCACTTCAGTGTCTCTGCCTTCTCCAGGAAGACCACTGATGCCCTCATGAAGCCCCTCTCTCTGGATCTCATCAAACCCTCCTAAACACTAAAGCCTGTCTCCAGATACCATCACATTGGGGGTTAGGACTTCAACAGGTGGATTTGGAGGATAAAAAGACATTCAGCACCTAGTACACCACACCACTGAAGAACCCAAGTAAAATCCCAAGGCCATTGCAGACCTTGGTGTTAATGTTTGCCATAAGGAACAGTGTCCTGGAGTCTAAATGCTAATGCTTTGAGATGAACATGATGGGGCAGATGTAACACAGGTAGGAGGGAACGTTGGAAGATGAGAACGGAGGGTGACCTTGTGGACCCTGACTGATCCCAATGAATTCCAGCCCAGTGCTTCAGTCTCTCTCTGAACTGGAGCCCACCATGACCATGGAGGAGGTCCTTTGGAAGGGTTTGCAGGAATGGCAGAGCACTAGCAACTTTGACCGGATGGCCTTCTATGAGACTACAGAAAAGTGAGTTAGATTTCAGGGCCCGGACCTGAGTGCTGGAGGATCCTGGTTTGCACAGCAGGGTCAGTCAGGGCCTGTCACTTACCTACGTGTTGGTTCGGAGGCATCTGGCTCTCCAGATAGCGGCTCCTCTAGCTGGAGGCCTGGACATTCCCTTTGCAACAATCCCAGAAATTGCAGCCTCCATACTCCTGATCCCAACCCTGCCTTGAGGTGCAGGGTCAGGATGGGGAGGAGTAACCAGCTCAGCCAGAGGGTCTCCTTGTGCTTTGTTGGCTCTGCAGAGGTGACAAGTTGCTCTAGGCTCACACAGGCCACCTGCCTGGGAAGTGGCACCTCTTTTACAGAGTGGGATCGATTATAACTCATGAAAGTGGCCACTACTTCAACCTGATGTTCCAGAAGAGAGTGGCAGTGGGGATCGCATGGTCAGAGGCATCCAGCACCTCAGATGCCCCTAGGACATATCTCTGGACTTTACTGCCCTTTCTCTCTATAATCCTTGCCATTCTAACAAGGGAAGAGAAGGAAAG